TCACCAGAGACAGAGTGGGGAGCAGAACAGGCAGATTGACAAAGTACACTGGTGAGGGGACAAGCGGGAGGGTCAGATGAGATCTGCCACGCCATGTAGGTCAGTTCCCTGGCCAGGGATTGAACTCATGCTGTAGTGATTTCGGAGAGCTTCATAATGAGGTGCTTTAATCTGCCACCAGGCAGTGCCCTTGAAGCTGAACATTTTTAAAGAGCCCCTGAAATTGATGCTGTTCCTCACCCTCTGAGTCAATGTTGAATTTAGTCTTTTCAAACTGAAGTTGAACTTGAAGGTGGGGGTGAAGTGCCGAGACTGTCAGAGTGGTTCTTCTGTAGGACTGATACACCATGACTTAGGAAGAGAAACTGTTTTTCTTATTCAGATTTGCAGTCAGATCATGATGAGATGGTATTTCTCACCACAATTTCCAGAAACTCCTGTGGCCAGGGGTCTGGCAGGAGGCACTCACTCCCCTCCTCATACACCGCTATTCTAAACTCATCATGTAACACATTACTCTTTCCTGCATTTACAGAGCTGACCCAGTGCGTACGCCCTCCTGGGCCTTCTGTCAGCTCTCCCCTTCCAGGAGAGAGGCCTCAGAGGGTGGGAGCAGTCAGGTTGCACTCTGGAAGCTGCTGGAGGCTTCATTAGAAGCTGGGGTATCCTTGAGCACCCCACTCCTACTTTGACAGAGGAGGAAACTGAGAGCCAGAGGGGACTTGTCTGAGTCACCAGCCTACGAAAGGGGAGTGGTAATGGGGAAGGTGTGGGTTTATTTTCATAATTTGCTCTCTTGTGCATATGCATCCTTGCATGCAAATATGTCTGTATACATGCATATACACATATACATGCATGTGTGCCTCATAGTATCTTACTGTAAGTGTTAGGATTCATAGATCTTAAGTCTTTTATAATAAGAATGTATTCTGGTATTATTTGTAGAATTAAATACTTTTGAGGTAATAGTCATAAGACCAAACACGTGGTACAATACCATGTGCCAAGTACTATTTTAAGTTTTTACATATGATATTGTTCAATATTGACAACAGCACTACGAGCTTTTGTATTATCCCTGTTTTATAGGTGAGAGAACTAGTGATTAGAAAGCTTAAGTAACCCACTCCAGAATTTGCAAGTAGTAAGTGGCAGAGTAAGCACATGAGTCCTGGCAGCCTGGTTCCAGAGGCCAGGCTTGGCTTTATAAATAAGCATTGATAATCCCTAAAAGATCAAAGCTATGTCTTTAAAAGGACCTTTGACAGTGAGGAAAGACAGCAATGTTAAAAAAAAAAACTACCATTCTTAACTTTGTTAGGAAGTGGAAATGAGGTTTAAAAAACCTTCTATTCAGGGAACTTTGGTCTCCAGGAAGCATTTCCATTTGAGCAAAAGAAAATGTGAGGTTGTCAAAATGAGGGACATTTGAACTCGCTGTCAACAAGATTAAAAGAAAAAAAAGCACATTCACAGCTAGGTGGGAGTGAGCATCCTATCTTAGCATTTATCTCAGCCCTAAATTCTACACAGTTCCACCACAGAAGAGACACTTACGCTGGGAGAGTCACGTGTGTTGTGCCAATGGGAACAATTTCCATGGATTTGCCCCAGAACTTGTTTTTCCATCTCACATCTGAAATGAAATAGCAAATATTACATATTTAGCAGGAGAGGTAGGTAGATCAAAGAGTTTGTAGGCTGGATGATCAATCACTAATTAGAACAATTGCTTAAAGGTAAAAGTCATTATTGTATAGGGTAACTTTTCATTTAATATAAGCACCAGTTGAGTATCTGGAAGTGAATCATATTACATAAAATTTTAAACTAACATGAAACATCTTTCTTGGAGAAGTTCACAATACGAAGGGCAGACAGAAGTGAAAACAAGTCACGCCACCCAGAGAGTCATGACCAACATGTCTGAGGACGGTAACAGAATCAAGGCAGCTTGTTGCTTTGAAGAATGGGGGGTTCACCAGGTGGAGAAAGGCAATTTAAAACTGAAGATGTAGTTTGTTTAAGGGGCACAGATAAAGAGAACACAGTGTGCTCTGTCCTTTAGGTCTCAGATGGTCCAGAGAGAAGAGTAGAAAGACAGATTAAGAACAAAAGTCAGTGTACAGCTCTCCAAGCCTGGCTAAGAAGTCTGGCTTCAGTGCATGGGGTGAGGGACTGCGGGGGGTGGGGGACATAAGGTGTCTGTTTAGACAGAGAACTGATGTGATTAGAGACAGACTTGCAAAGATGATTGGGCACAATATGGTGAATAGTAAAGGAGCAGGAGAAATGAGAAGCAAAGTGATGAACAAAGAGGGTACTATAGCTTGTCAGAGGAGAAATGAGCATAAAGTGAATCCAGATAGCAGCAGAGGGATTGTGAGGAAGAGAATGGTCCCAGAGCCACTGCAGAAGTAGAAACAGAACTAGGTGAAAAAGCAGACATGGATTGCAAAGGACAGGGAAAATGTGTGCATAGTTTCAGATTTTTCCACCTTGCATTTTTTTAAAAGATTTATTTATGCATACAAGAACTGGGGTACAAGCCAGAGGTGCAGGGGATGAGGGGATTCATGAGACAGAGTGGGGAGCAGGGCAGGCAGATCTACTGAAAACACTGCTGTGAGGAGCTGTGGACGGGTCAGGAGAGGTCTGCTGCACCATGTGATTCACCTCCCTGGTCGGGGATCAAACTTGGTGCTGCATTGGCTGGAGATAGCTTTAATCTGTTGCACCACCAGAGAGGGCCCCCAACTTTCATTAATGGTGGTACCAACACACAAGACAGGATAGAAAAAGCATAGAGATGGCCCTCTGGCTGCTGCAGGGACAATACACAGAACACAGGAGTAAAGGTAAAAGCAAGGAGCCCAGTAAGGGCCATGACTCTGCACCAGGACAGAGGTAGGGCCAGGACTGGAGAGATCCCAGCTATATTCTGAATAATTCCATTTATATGAAACATCCAGGATGGGCAAATCTATAGGAAGAGAAAGTAGATTAATTGTTGCCTAAGGATAGAAGAAGTTATGGGAAGCTGTAGGGAAAGGGGAGAGAGAAAAGCTAAGGGAGTTTCTTTTGGGGTGATAAAAATGCTCTAAAATTGAGTGCAATGATTGCTTAATTCAGTGAGTACACTAAACCATGGACCTTTTAATAAGGTGAACTGTATGGTATATAAATTATATGTCAAAATGTTGCTAACCGAAAAAAAAAAGTAATTGGCTACTTTAAAAGAAAAAAAGATAGTAACAACATACTTACTTTGGGGCTAAGGTCAAATGTATGCTCCCCAAAGTATAAAGACTGGGAGAAGGGAAATAGAAGTACACTTTTGTAAGTTTCTCACCAAAAAACAGAAAGTGCCACACTATCTTCTACTTGAACATAGACAGTAATACCTGAAAGATACATTATAAATCCTAAAATAACAACTAACAAATGAAACAAAGCAATATAGCCAAGAAAACCAAAAAGTAGGTGAAATGGAATTATACGAAGAACTCAATCTAAAAGAAGGCAGAAGGAGAGGAAGGGGAAGCAAAAGAACAGCTGCAACAAACAGAAAACAAGAGACCAGATTGAAATCCAACTACATCAATCATCACAATAAATGTAAATGATGTAAACAATCTAATTAAAAGGCAGACAAATGTCAGGATGGATTTAAAAAACAAAATTTGGGAGTCATGAGCCTATGGGAATTTGTGAGATTGCCCAGAAAAAGGCTGATAAAGAAAAAGCAAGGGGAGCTAAGAAGATATCTGTGAGCAAAATAAGGGACATGTAGGAACTATTTTGAGAAAACAGTTTCTATGTAATACATAATTTTAAAAGTATAATAAAGTGCGTATAGGGTTGATGGCACTTAGCAACTAAAAAATTAGAAAACTTTATGAGAATTAATTCCAGAAAATTTCAGTGAAAGTTTCTAAGATGTTTCTAATCAAGCTGTAATTTTAAATTTTAGTTGGAATGATTCAGAAAGCAAACCATAGTACTTGTAACTTTAAACTAGTAATATTAATGGCCTTCAGGAGAGAGAAACTGGGTGAGAGAAGGAGATGTTTCTAATGAGATATTCTTTTATGTCTTTTAAATTTTGCATGTGTGTTTTTTTAAAGGCTTCTGGCAAATCAGGTAATAGTATCACTGTTAGCAGAGAAAATTTAAAAGTGACATGTGCTCACTCTTTGAAACCTCAGGATGCTTAAATTTTCATTCTAAAATGCACTTAACTTTTGAATAAAGTAAGTTAGCAAAGTTAATGAATCTAGGAAATCAATTTACAGCCTTATTCAGTTCTTCAGAACACCCATCTCTTGCCAAATTCAATGACTTTAGCAACAACAAACTGGAAAAAAGGCAGCAAGACATAATGTGATTTCAGAAATAAAATTCAAGTTTTTTTTTCCCAAAGAAAAACTCCTCTTCTGTTCAGATTATGATAAAAACTCTTGAAAATACAGGAGACATTCCAAGTGACTGTGGAATAAGACAGAGAACAGGTTACAGGATAAGATGGTGTTCCATACAAAGATTGAGTGTTTTTTTTTTTTTTTAAGGTGAAATTATCTTCCTGAATTCTTTATGAAGCAGAAAAACACCGGTTATTGTTCAGGGATGAAAGGCAAGAACAACAAATGACGCAGATTGTTCCGATAAGGACCAAGTTCAGGGCCAGGTTTTGATTTTAATAAGCATTTAGAGTAGTTCATTTATAGCTAAATCTATAACATTACTAAAAATGATGGACACCAAGTATATTAGCACATTACCTTGCCAGAACACAAAATTTCCAGACTCAGCATGACATGCAGAGATAGGTGGGTGGTGGCTGACCTGATGGAAACAAAGGCCAAAAAGACAAACAGCTAATTAACTTTTCTGTCTTAAAATCCATCCCTCTGTCTTGCAAGACATACAGACATCATGCAACTGAAAGAAAATAGCTTTCATTTCCTTCACCTCGTCTTTCCTCTAGAGGGTGCTCCCGACACAGCCAGCTCTGACTTGTTCAAGTTTGTCAGGGATGAGAAGAAATTGGGTGGGTGCATGGAAGCTTCTGGAAGTCTGGGGGATTGGCCAAGTGAGGAGTAATGAAGATATAGTCTCTTTTTGACAGACAGATGTGAAAATACAACAGGGATGTCTACTTATAAACCAGACAATCTGACACAAGCTACCAATGTGTCAAACTGTACTAGCAGTTCTGAAAGTACCTGCCAATGTTTTAATTAGGATGTCACATAGAAAACATTTTTAAATGCTTTGGTTCAGCAGATATGACTCTCTGAAGACTCTGTATCACACATTCCAGATTTTTTCAAATCACCTATAAGACCAATCCGAGCTAACTTTTTAAAAGACTAACGTTTCTATAAAAAAGAACTAAGCAAACTTATTGAAGAAATATTAGTGAACTGAATTTTTTTTGGGTCAGTATTAAAATATCTTGAGTAAATATGCAAACTATGTTCTAGAGAAGAGATCTCTTGTAACAGAGGGCTTTCCTCTGCCTTTGGACGCTGGGTTTTATTCACTAATGAGAACACTAAAAAGATATAGCTCCTCAGATTTCCTCATCATCTCAGTAATATTCGTGGCCAGGAGTGGTATATGTTTTGTTATTATAATTCAGTAGTAGTGAAACCAAAGTAATGCTGGTGGTGGTGTTTCCAGAAATTTCTCTGACTTGGCTTGTGCTTAGCAAAGGTAATGTACATTTAAAACACCTGCCCAAACAAACCTTACATATTGCAAATGAGGAGACAGAAACAGAAAGATTAAGTAGTTTACCAAACACACTGAAAGTGAAGAATTAGAGGTAACTTTTGTTTTACATCAATGATTTTAAAGTTCAAAAATTTGTTTGAAGCAGTTGCACCCTGCTGAATTCAGAATACAAAGCACTGCTTGAGGTGAACAAGTTATGTTGGGGGTGGGGGCAGTGGGAGGAGACAAATCCTCAAACTTGCCTGGACCCTCAGCCTCAGTAGGAAACATGGATTGAAAACAGCCTGTGTGTGTCTCCTCTAGATTTGTGCCACAGACTAAACATTTAACTCATGGGGTTTCAAGTGTACCACCCAGGCCCAAACAGTAGTGGGAACACAATTTCAATAGTGAAGGTAGCTCTCAGGTCTCAAAGAGCATAAACCCCCCCAACATGAGATGTGTGAGACAAGTTTGCATCCCTTGGATGGCTTGTTTCCAAGGCCTCTTAAGTAAGTACCCCTCCCTGTGCCTAGGGGATTTTTCAAGAAGAATCTGCACTTCAAGCACTGATTTAGAAACCCAACTTTTAAATGCAATTCTGCTCTTCTTTTAAAATCCAACCCCTCCCACCCACTGCTTCCCTCAGCAGTGTACTTCATAGATCTGCCTGTTCTACTCCCCCCTCTGTCTCTGGTGAAGCCTCTCACCGCCCCTGAGCCTCTGGCCTGTACCCCAGTTCTGTATGCACAAATAAATAAATCTTTAAAAAAAAAAATCCAACCCCTTGAAGATAGTTTATATCACAGAATGTTGCATTTTCCTATACATCCACTTAAACTCCATCAGCTCATAATGATAACTCAGGAGTTGACTTTTAAACCTTTGGGTCATATAACACTAAACCAGAGCAAGACCATGTCACCTCTACTGGTCCACCCAGCCCCTGCTGGTCCCACAGAAGAATGGGGAGGGGAATTATAGGGGTGACCCCTCTCTAACAGTGTAGGCCTATTTTAAAGTAGACTATTCCATCTGCAACAAAACAAGGAAAGTAGGGCTCAGAGCCTTGAATTAATTTAGCATTTTTTATAGGCGTGGCCAACTGTAAACATCAAAGCAAAATATTATAGAAATTACAAACCTCTCTGGTAATAATGTTAAGGTCCATAAACAGGGTAAGTACATTGCCCATATGATTATATGAGAAGCCTTATTGTGCCATCAAATATCTCTCCTATAAAAATGTAGCTTTGGTTTTTTTAGACTATTGTGTCAGAGTAATGAATCAGTACTTAGCAGAGTGCCCTTCCATGGACTCAAAGGATGTTTTGTGAATGAATAAATCTCAATACTCAAATATCAATGATTTTGCTTTTTTTTCTGACTTAAAGAGGCTTTGGGGAATGAATCATTTGATCCATGTTGCTTTTAAATTTATAAAGCTTCCCAAGGAATATATTGATGCCTTATAAATAAAAGTTGATGACTTGTTTTCCTTACAATGTTGTTTTCCTTTCATGAAACATTTCTAAAGGTGCAAAAATGTGTTTTGCAAGGTGTCACAGTATAATGGAGACCTTTTGGACTCCCACAGATCTAGGCCCTTACCTTACAATGTCAACTACTGGCTTTATGACCTTGACCAAGCTGTTTAAGTGTGAAAGAATTTTAGTAGGATAGTATGCAGAGAGAGGAGAGATGAAAGAATAATAATTTCCCAATAAAAAAATCACACTAAGTCACCACCCTCTTAAAGGTAACTGTCCAGTCAGACAGGGTTAGCCTGAAGTTGATGGGGTCCAAAAAATTGCCACAGTCTGAGGTACCTTTAGTGGGGAACCATGGGAGTAGGGTAGAGGAGGCCAGGCAAGTCTGATGAAAGGCACAGATCAAAGTGCAAATCAAGGTAATGGCACCACTGGCAACCTCCACCAGGGGCTCTTACCCATGTCTCTCTCCAAGGCTCTCCTCCACTTGTCTCTTCCAAATCTCCCAAATCCCTGGTGCAAGTCTAAAGCCAAGAAGCAGTGAGCCCTTGTCCATAAGTCTCCCTTTTTAGCAAGTCTTTAAACCCTCTGGGCTTCTATTACTTCATCTTTAATGTAAGATTATGACCACTAACTTTGCAAACAAAAACAATGATAACAGAACCATATGCTAGCATGGAATAAGCCAGGCTAAAGGTTAGCTTTATTCATGAGTGATATTTCCACTTGGTTCTCATAGTAACCATGTGTCTTCACAGTCCTTATTTTATAGATTAGGTAATAAGTTCTACCCAGCAAAGAACCTGTTCAATGCTATGAAGTTAATTAGTAACAGGGAAATATCTAAATATTTTCTAGGTTTTTCTTGTTTGGGTTTAGGAAAATAGTCCTCAATATATCACTTTTGCAGCTGTCCAGAAACATCACCAAGTTCCTGATTTGTCTCCAACCTTGTCAGGCAGCTTGTGAAAAAGGAACAGGTACCAAGTGAAAAGTCACTCAGGAAAGGGTCCCCATGGCCATTCTTGCCATGGCATTATTAAACAATGACCGACTGATGACGTGTCTTAGTCACTGTGTAAACAGTCAGAAATAAAACTCTTTTCCCTCATGGGGCTTACATTTTAGTGTCGATGTGGGTCACACAGACAATAAACAAATAAGTACGTAATTCTCAGTAGTAATTTATATTAAGGAAAATAAAGCAAGTGTGAGGATAAGGGGACGCTGAGTGATAGTGCTATTCCAGACAGGACAGGAGGAACATGACTGTATCCTGGAAACTTCTGAGGTTGAGAGAAGTAAGCCAGCTTAGCCATGCAGGTATCTGGGCAACATGTATCCCAGGCAGATAACACGATCATTTCCTAGGACAGGTAAATGCTCGGTATGTTTTAGGAGAAGTAAGTAGTAACTTGGAGGTCCTCGTGAACCATGACTGGGATTTAGGGTTTTATTTCAGGTCCCATGGAGTATTGTAGAGGGTTTAGAGCAGACAAGACTTCTGTTCAAAGCAACCACTCTGGTTCCTGGGTGAGGAATTAGCTATGGAAATGAGGCGGGTTAAGGAGTCTATTGCAGCAATCCCACTCAATTATTTTGTGGCTTGGGTTTGGTGGCCAACAGCAATCAGGGAGGTAGTAAAAACAGAGAGCTTTGGAAGGAAGGCTTCTGAAGACAGAACTGAGAATTTGCTGATGGATAGGATGTAGACTGTAAGAGAAAGAATTATTCAGGTGGATGCCAAGGATACTGGTCTGATTTCTGGGAGAAGACAATTGCAAGTAACCTTCTTTTCCCCATGTCCTGAGTTAAATACTGATTTGATAAATAAATGACTTCTTGCAAAAAAAATGCAACAAAAATACATTAAGTCATGACTTAACCTAGAAATGGAGAAACAATGGTTTCTATTTATTTAGTTGAACAGCTTGAATTTCCCTGCTGATAATGTCTTTAAATAAGATACCACTTTAACCAGTAGTAAATAACTCTGCCTACTCGCAGATAAAAGAACTATTTAGAGAGGTGATGCAAGCAGAGAAGTGATATGATAGGTGTGGTATTTATAAGTCTGCCCAGAAATGCATGTCCAGAATTCTTCAGATGAGGAACAGAACAGCAAGAAGGATGAGTCTGTAAAGCAATGGAAAGGATATCTCTGGTATATTTTAGAGACTTTAGTAACTCCATTCAGGTTTTCTGGTACAAACTCAACAGAAGGATGCTGAATGACTAGAACAGGGTTCTGATTACCTACATTCTAGGTAATAAGGAAAAACCAACTTTTGGTAATGACTTAATGCATTTTAGACAACAAAAATTTTTGACACCAAATCTTTCCCAGAGGTACAAAAGGGAAGCAAATCTAACTGAAATGAATTTTGTGACCCAGGTGGCCCCAGGTGAAGCTCCAGCCCAGTGCTCAATGAAGTGCTAGGTTGCCAGAGCAGTTGACGAGAACTCGGTCACTGATGAGAGAGAAAGGAAGTCCTTTCTTTCTGAAACACCACCTCCTCCCCCTTCCTGGGCTTATGTGGAAAGCTAAGGCTGAATCAGATTTCTTGGCATAAAGGAAACTCCTCCCCTGAGGAGGTGGAACAACTGGGCGACTGGAACACATGGCAGGGATGTTCATGATTTGCTCCTGAAGGCTCCTCATTCACAAAGGCCACTCCATAGCCCACAGTGGGACTTCAGAACAAAGTCCTACTCACAAATGCAGATGAAAGGTTTAGGCAGCAACAGGCAAAGTCCCACTGACACATCACATGGGCAGTCAAAGTCTCCTGCAGCTCCGAGCACAGTTGCTAAATCCACAAAAGACACCCCCTAAAATGGCCAAGGGAGAGAGGCTGCTAGCATGGAAAGAGGGTGCTAGACTGGAAAGAGAGGGCGCTAGGTAAGGGGCATTGGAAACCCCAGTGCACAGGCCTCAGTTTCCTCACCAATAATTGATCCTTTGCTCCCCTGTCACAGAAGGGGGCATTTTGGAGATCAAATATGATCCTGTACAAATTTGAAAGCAAAAAGTCCTCTGCAACCCTAATACTTGATTGTTATGAGGAAAATGTGAACAGCAAATGCTTTCTCTGGGTTCTGCCTCTGGCTTGATAATATATTTTGTGGTCTTGTCAATGACACATAATATGAAGAGGTAAGTTGAGAGATAGCTAACTCTGTGGTGTAGCAACTACCTCAACCTCCTATGCCACTGACCATATTGAACATATACCCATCCATCAGTCCAATGCAACAAAAGCCAGGGGCTTGAAGGAAAGGGACAGACTTCTTTTAAAATTACCCAATTTCTGCTTTCTAGAAAATGCATTAGAAAAGCCAAGTGGCCCAGATGCTTTTGTTTAAAGAGATGATTTCCACCAATGACCTCATTAGAGTAAAATTCCACCCTAAAAATATTAATTTGGGTCCTCCCTGGTGGCGCAGCGGGTTAAAGCACTGCACTGAGAATCTAAAGCCACGTCCGCATGAGTTCAAATCCCGCCTGCCCCAGGGGTGACCACATGGCGCGGCAGACCTCTCCTGACCCGCCCGCTGCTCCCCTCAGCAGTGTACTTCGTAGATCT